AAGATCTATTATGGATTGTCGTTTAGGCGTGAAAAAAGTAGGTCATTTATGATTTCCAGGTTGCTGGAGCTGAGGAATTAGTGTAGAGCATTTCCCCTGGGGTTCGTGTCCCACAGAATATGATGGGCATTCCAGTCACAACCGATGAGAAGGCTCTTTCCAGATTCCTCGTAATATCGTACTAACGATCTCCCGAGGCGGAGCAACTGTCTCGTAGGAAAGTGCGCTAAGCAGACTTCTACCTCCTGGGTGCGATCGTTTACCGCAGGGGTCGCTGTCCACAGGATTGGAAGTAACTTTCATGAACGCGAAACGGCGGATAAATTCAAAAAGTGATTCTTCATGCACCATATATACAGGGTGATTCACATAACAACCGACATAGGGCAGGGGCCCAAAATATGGCAATTTATCGCAACTTACCTCTATACCAAGTTGCTTCCCTAAGTAGTAATAGGCATAGCACTAACAGCATGTCAACTTGCTCGTTGAAAGAAAAAACTTCCCGTTCATTTTAAAAACACTCAAACAACCAACTCACTTGCCTCATTGTCAAGTTTGACGTTTAATTTCATAGCCAACTTTTGAATTTTCGATGATTTTAAATAACACACCTAGAGCGCGATTTTTCAGTTATTCGAGTTTTTGATGAAAATGATGAGGTTTTTCGAAAAATTACTAGAGTAAGAAAAGTTTAAGAATTTAATTGCCCACAAAACAAAGCAAAGATTTCTGAAATCCATCAAGTGTTAACAAAATTATGTTGAATATTAATGATGCGCCACCCGGTATACCTTCTTTACAAATTTCAATTGAACTCTAGTAACTGTCAAGTAACGCTCTAAATACATCCACAAAGTGTACCAAATTTAGTTGCTTTAAGTTCAAGAATAACGGAGACATTGATTTTTTTCAAAATTTATAACTTCACTTTCAAAGTCTATATCTCCTTAGGGAAGCAACTTGGTATAGAGGTAAGTTGCGTTAAATTGCCATATTTTGGGACCCCCTACATGCCCCTGCTCTATGTCGGTTCTTATGTGAATCACCCTGTATGTATATATATCAACTAACTATATTATGAATACTCCCTAACAACACAGGGATGTCTTAGGTACGTCCCGTTTTTGTCCCGCTGTACAAGGACATGATTGGGGCATCCAGGGGATGTCCCGCCGCAGTGATTGTCCAGTGGACATCCCGCCCGGTACATCCCTAGGTTATCCCATTCGTGTCCCTGGAATATCTGATATCCATTCACATCAGAGTCATTGAATTTCATCAAAGTATTGAGTTGAATTTTTTTGAAAATGTTTTGTTTTTCTTCCGGAAAATAAATGTAATGAAAATAAAGAAGTTTCCTGTTTATAACTCTGTTTATTACATAAATCTTCAGGAGACTCAATAGTCAATGGAGTAAGATGCGTGCCTGATAAGCCAAAGGTCCCGAGTTCAATCCCTACTCGACCTACATTTTTTTTCTTTTGTCGAAGGGATGTCCCTGGGATATCCTTGGGACGTCGTAGGGATATTCTTTCTTCGTACTTGGTACATCCCAGGGACGCACCAGAAGGACATCCCTAGGATGTCTCTTTTTGTGGAAAGCGGATGTCCCTGGGACGTCCCTAGTATGTACCATGTCCCGACACAGGATATCCCAGGGACGTCCCCGTATAAAATGAAGGACGTCCCTGGGACGTACTCGTGTTGTTAGGGCTATACAAACTTAAACTAGTCGAAAAGAAGGGTGAAAACGTTCTTAACACGGAAGTAATGATTAAAATTTAATTTTCGATTGAAGGTTTCGAATCTTGACCAGTTCATTTTTATTTCTCCCAAAATTACGAGTTCATACAGGGTGACTCAATAGTGTGCTCTCCTACGATATTAGCCAAACCGTCAGATATATGTATACAGGGTGGGTCACTGTCGGGTACCTTGGACTTACACGGAGAACAGGACATAATAGGATCATTCTGAAAATGTTTTTACTCAAGTGCTCAAAGAATTAAGTGGATGATAGTTGTTGTCACGAGCTTGGCAGTTCTTTCATAATGGGATGTTATATTGAGTGTTGGAATGATTGAAATGTAATCACTTGCTTACAGTCGTCTTTTCACGGGCACTTTTCTCAAGTGATGAAGGAAAGTGCACTATAGAGTGCCAACTAAGGAATGTCTGGAAATCACCGTTTCCTCAATATTTCATGTAAAGTACTGAATAATGCAAAGGTGCACCCTTGCGGCCCCCGGAATTGACTTATCTAATAAAATCAAAATATAACAGTGCAGTGCGGTTTTAATATCGCCTGAACTTTTTTAAATCCACAGAAATGCATAAAAATACAGAATATCGAAAAATATCTATATTTCACATCCTGTATAAGGAAGGTCAGAAATTCCAAAATCATCTCGAGATATTGACTTGAAGATTTGAGGATGTTGATTTGCAGAAGGATGAAAAAATTCCTGGGGAATACGGGAGCTCCCTAAACTTTTTCGCTTATCAAACATACTTTTTGACTATTTGGTATGTCATAACTAGAAAACTTCGAAAAGTTTCGAACAATTAATCCTAAACAGGAAGGAGGCATTTTTTGAACACTGCATTCTGATTGAAAATCGGTTTATTTGTAAAAAGTTATCGCAGTATAAAAAAACGTCGAAATTCGAGTGGTCCACTTAATTCTTATGTTGCTCTTGGTCTATCGATCTGGAATATTTTCAGAAATGCAGCGTTGCGCTTATACTAGAAAGTAGTAGCAACTTGATTTTTTCGTGTCAAAACTATTCAATATCGGTCAAAACGGCTTATATGTCACTATCTTATAACTTCTGATTTTCTGTCACTGACATTTGATTGAAACAGATACAGGGTGATCAGAATTCTGAATCTTACACCACCAGGTACAACAATATTCATGAAGGAATTATTCATATCACATTTTTTGTATCATCATTTGATTTGTATTGTGATGCATTGCCAAATAATAAGAATACGTATTTCATTTTGTTGAAAGTGAAATTTTTCAAATTTAATGCACAAATGACGATTTTTTTCATCAAGCCACCAATTATTTGCTAACAAATCGATTTATATCCAAAACGGCAATATTTCGGTATAGAAACTACTTATAAAAATTGAAGGTAATTTGGATCTAAAACCGTTGAAATGAAAAAATATAGGGTGTTCCATTTGAAATAATGTCTTGAAATCTTCGATTTCGTCAAGTTTTGACGTCTATCATTGACAGAGTGTTCAATATTTGGAACTGTTTTTGTAGGATCACATCTTGAACTCCACTCATGTGTATTTATTTGTTTTCAATGTCCAAAAGAAAATTATAATACATTTTTATAGACAAAATCATTTTCGCGAAAAAAATTAAATAACTTGGCAACCATGGAGTCAAATACAGGAAACAACAGTTGTGTAGCAAATTTGATGGTGCATTCGAAAATTCAATTGAAAACACCCTATAGATTTAAACATAAGTTTAGGTGATAGTTTTCATGAAACCCTATAACTTGCAGAGCTGGGCATTATTTGTATTTACAAATACTTTTTAGTTAAATACTTTTCGGTATTTAAATACCGAGTATTTAAATACTTTTTGGTTCAGGTATTTATATTTATACTTACAAATATTCGTTGAAATATATTTATAAATTAGTATTTGCAAATAGTTTCGAAAAGTATTCAAATATATCTGAAGTATTTAAATACTTTCGGAGTATTTAAATACCCAAAAATATTTAAATATTTCAGAAGTATTTGAAACACTCAATATTCAAATACTGTGGAAGTATTTAAATACTTAGAAGTATCTGGGCTCCGTGGCCGAGTTTGTCTATGCGCTGAAATTCGCTAGATAGCTGTTCACGATGCAGAGGTACTGTCGGTTCGAATCCGGCTATCGGCTGAGCATTTTTCTTTAAAAATGTGTGATTCATGGTTGTAATCCTGGCAGCACCTCGATGCCCTAGAAGTGGTTCGGATTCCACTATAAGCTGTAGGTCCCGCTCTTCCTAACCCCGCACAAGTTTCGACTTCTGGGGAGTTGGTTCCCAACTTTGAAGTAGCGATATACAAAATATATACAAAAACAAAAAATATATCTAAATACTCCGAGAATAATTGAATATTTAGATTCTGAATTTGGCCCATCACGTCTATGATATCATCTTCTTAAATGGAACACCTTGTGGATTTAAGCTTTTCTGAATCTGAGCTGATTTCAGGGACCTCCACATACAACATCCAATATAGTGAATGGTGAATTTATTTCATCAATCTGACAATGATAATTCATACATTTTCAGAGACGAGGATCGAAAACCCAAAGAAATCGAGTAGAAATAAATGGTAATTCTGTTTAAAAATCATAGGTAATTGAGTAAGTCACTAATCCAGACATCATCCTTTTCTATTGATGTCGGGTTTTGACAAATTGACGCCTTCCTAGTGCAGTACAAAGAATTATTCATTACATCTACATGACACAAGGTGATTAAAGGCGTCATGAATATATTCAAATCCTCGAGGATATTTGAAAACTTCGGATGTATTAAACTCTGGAAGTATTTAAATACTTTGGAAGTACTCAAATACTTTGGAAATATTCAAATACTTTCAGCGTATTTAAATACTTTGCAAATAATCAAGTCTTTTGAAAGTATTTAAATACTTTGGAAATACTCAAATACTTTGAAAGTATTTAAATACCCACTGTGAACTATTCAAATACTTTTGTATTTGTTATTCAAATACTTTTTGGCCTTTGGAAATATTTAATATTTAAATATTTTCAATATCCGAAAGTATTTAATACTTAATATTTAAATACTTTTCTCAGAGTATTTGCCCAGCTCTGATAACTATTGTATTTGAATTTTTTCTATATATATCTGACGATTTGGCTTATATCGAAAAAAATACACTATTGACTCACCCGGTAGATCTAATCTCTAGATCTTCAGAATGTTCTTAATGCAAAAAAAATCAATCTGAAATTATTAGTTTATTAAAAATACAAAAAGCAAATTATCAGGATACTAAACTATGCACTTGCAAGATACTTGGCCCAGTTTTCATTAGCACTTGAGTCTGGGAGAACCCAACCAATTGGTATTTTCGATCCCATCTCATTAGTTGGAGACACCAAGAAAGTATCCCAGCTCTTCCTGAAAAAAATACGATAAAAATTATAACGTCAATAGGGCATACTCATCAAAATAAGAAAAATAAAGTCCAACAAACATAGGGCTAAAAACGCTCAGTTCTTCTGTTGAATTTGAAAAAAAATCAAATTTTTCTTCCATTTTAAAAATCCATATTTCGATTTTCTTGAAATACAGTGGGCTTGTCTGTAGTAGTCAAAGAATTTATGTGGAATCATACGATTTAATGAGGAAGCAAAAAAGTGATTTCCACAACACACCAGGCATTTGTGTTCTTGCCTATAGTATATGTCGGGAGATAAATAACTACCTACTTTCCTTACATTGGATTATATCCTCCCAAAATCTAAGCAACATCCCTTAAAACCGAATATTGATTGCAAGTGTTTCTTTCCTAAAGTACGATATCCGACTGCAAGATTACCACGTTCATGAAGTATTCAATGAAAATCTAATTTGAACATATAGTTATGAATAGGGGAATATATTTTTACCGGGCGACTATCGAAATTTTTAATTAAAATGATATCAAATGATCAGCATTAGATGATGACGTTGTTTAGAAGTGCGTAATAGACAGCATTTTTATTGTTGGTTATGTAAAGCATATTTGAGATAATGAAGAAGTGCCTTCTGTGTCTATAAAGGCTATAATGTGCTCGAATTCAATGATGCATCATTATGCACCTTTTTCAATTGTAATTTAGAAAGCGTCAATTGTAGAGTTATCAAATGAAATTCAGGAAGTGTCAATTAAAATTCAGATTAGTCAATTGAACTTCAGAAAATATCAATTGCAATTCAGATTAGTCAAGTGAAATTGGGGAAACTTAAAATTGTAAATCGGATTTTTCGTCAATTGAATTTCAGATATCGTCATTTGTAATTCAGAGAAGTAACTTGAAATTCAATATATCAATTGTAATTCGGATTAGACAAGTAAAATTCAGAAACTTCAATTGTAATTCATATTAGTCAAATGAAAATCAGAAAGCCAATTGAAATTCAGATATTGTCAATCAATTGTAATTGAGAATGTGTCAATTGTAATTCAGACTGATGGATTGTAGGTAGGTATTAGAACCAGCGACTTGAGAATTATGAATCATTTTTATTGATGATAAGTTAAAATTAATTTTAATAGGTCAAATACAGAAGTTATGAAAGAAACCGCAATTTCCGAAAAAAATATTGCTTGGTACTTCATTCGTTATAGTCCGAGAGTCGGCTGCAAATTTCCACCGTCATCTGATAACGAAATTATATATGTCCCAATGGCATGTAAAAACTCTGTATTTTATCAAACTGCACCTGTGCCAATCACTATCCTGAGCAAAATGGTTGAAAAATGGCACTTTCCTGTGCGGTAATTTGCACTCTATTTCGCGATTTGATAACGAGATGAGACTCATACCATCCGATACAAATTCAATGGTAGATCTCAAAAATCTACCTATGCCACTCCTAAATCTGAGCCAAATCCACGGCACAGCGATTTGTTTGCTGCTATTATTCCGGATATACCTTCGTCATGTAATAACGAGTTGAAACAAAAGACAAACGAAAGGGGATAATGTCCCCTTTGCGAATATCCAAACCTGCCGCGATTCAAAATGATTTAAGTTAGTGGCAGAGCGTCAATATTTCCGAGAATATTTCGCCCCTCTGTAGATAATATCCGATGGACCAGTGTTAAACTAAACATGTAGATTGGAATACTCCTAATCAGGTAGCGGAGCTGACCGAGCGTCAGCTGATGACCCAAGAAAGTGTTTGGGATCACACGTCAAAAGGTAAGGCCCTCATCATTCCTTGCTCGCAAAAGTCTCTGGAAGAGTTCTTTGGGTTGCTCGTAAGGGGGCAACCGAATGACGAATAGAACCATTTTTTCAGAACACTATTGTTATTTTATTTTCAACTTGTTTTTAGTTTGGCTATCTATGAAAGCCACATTGGATCAGTCATCTTGAATTTCCTTATTTTGACGAAGGAATCATAATCCTCGATCACAGAAACCCCTATAGGTACAAATTTTGAATAGAATAGGATTATAATTACAAAACACGTCCGTCATATTGGTTCCGCCATCTCGAATTTCCAAAATTAGTGAAAACCGCCAGATTCCCATTTTGAATAAAGTCGAATCATAATTACAAAACTCGTCCGCCATATTGAATCCGATATCTTGAATTTCCTAATAGTACCGGGATAAAAAGTATCCTATGTCTGTCTCCTGGTTCTAAGCTACCTCCCTACCATTTTTCAGCCAAATCGGTCCAGTAGTTTCGGAGCCTATTCAATACAAATAAATAAACAAACATACAAATATTTTCTCTTTATAATATTTGTATAGATGAAAAAAATACTCATGTAATACTCGGTATGTGAATACCGATTTGGCTACACATATCAGTATCCAATTGAGTTCAATATTAAAACTGAAGAAATACTAAAAATATTTCTGTTCAATCATATTTGTCCAAGTGGAGTGTAGTGATCGCACCAGAGTTCAACCCATCTTATTCCATCTTGTAACCATGGCAATGCCGAATATGCGCATACAAATTCGGTTCTAGTGGGAGTCCTATGCTTCGTATCTTAGAGTTCCTTAATGTACTTGACACTTCTGTTTTGACGTTTTTGTATATTCAGAGTGCGGACACTATGACAACCACTGACAGTACACAAACGTCCATTACATCAACTTCAGAGGTTTGTCAAAATAAGAAAATTTGGAAAATATGATGCAAGTTTGTGCTTTTTTCAACTGTAAAAATACTGAAAATTGTGTGGAACACAGTTACTTTGTGGAACTCTGATATACCTATCTTAGAGATGGATTGTTTGTGTATCGCTTCCTCTAATGTTTTAAATACCAAGTCTGAACTTGTGCATAGTTGATGAGAAGTGCGGGACCTGTACAGCTTATAGTGGATTTTGAAAAACTTTTGTGGTGCCAAAAGATGCTGACAGGACAAGAACACTCAACACGTGCACCATATATTTTTATTGAAAATGATCTTTGGCGGTCCATAGTGAGACGAGCAGTCTGTACAGCCAACGCTGGTACTAGTGGTATTATGGTTTCCTGTTCCGTATTTCTTGGAAAATCTTTATTATTCATCTTAACTGAACTATCACGAATCCATCGTATTATTCCTTCATTTTAATATGTATCTGTTATCCTATTGTTGCCATATGATTTGTCCATTCAACTAAACTAAACACGAATTTCGTCGCCCCTGTTATAATGTGAATAAGTTTTTTCAGTTTAGAACAATTTGAATTTGGTTCACACTGTTCGATAGCCCAGTCCTTCAGCTATAATCTGGTACTTCATTGAAACATAAGGGTACTCACATAAAATCTCTACATGGTGTTTTCCGACACTGTGCAAAATTTCGGAATATTCAAAAGGCTCCCAAATGATGAAAAATTTTTTTTTCTCAACTTCGACAACAGAGTCATGAAGATGATCTCATTACCTCGAGAGATTTCGCGAATCAACTTCCTATCTCTCTTATTTACAGAGTGATCTCAAAAAATCAACTTTTTGGTTTTGCAGCCATAACTTTTTTCCACGTCTACCGATTTTGGAAATCTTAGCCTCATTTTGAAGATAAAACTTCAGATGAAGAGATCTGAATAACAGAATTGACTCAAGATGGCTATCAAAGATCTAGAGTTTTCTTGAAAGTGACCCAAATCTGGAACGCCCTCCGAATCTCGGTTGGGAGGAGAATTGAATGAAAATCAACTTGTTCTCGGAAGAACAATTCATTCTGGATGCGTCCATATTTTCCTCGCTCTCAGTAGTCAAGAATTGTGCATGAGAAAACACAATTGAAACATGTTCTTGCAAAAACATTAGATCATTTCTCCTCTGTAATGCATGGCCCGCCGTAACCAACGTTACAAGAATCACAATGAGTGACTGACAAACTCGACCAGCTGAGGCTCATCATAAATGGTGTACCAACAAGAGCAACGGATTTTGATTTTTTCAATAAAGTGATTTTTTTAACAGTTGTCACGTACATAACATGCGATTTAAGAATATGGAGAAGTATTCAAGCAAACAACGTTTATTTATTGTAAAAACGCATTTCAAAAATGGTGAAAGTTTCACGAAAACAGTTTGCCAATTACGTAAAGTTTTCAGTCGCAATAAAGCGCCGAACGAATCGACAGTAATAACCAAACAATTCGTGTCGGAGATAAGCCCTTTGAATGGATCGGACTGTCGTGTTCAGCAGATCCGCGATTTGGAGGGAAGATAACCCTTGTTCCCTCATTTGTGGAATCAGTTCCAACTGGTCGGGCGTTAGAATCGGCATCGAAACTATCAAAATCTGTTTATGATTCGAAAACGACGTCTAACCTGACTTGTCAGTCACTTACTGTGATTCTTGTAACGTTGGTTACGGGCCATGCATTACAGAGGAGAAATGGTCTGATGTTTTTGCAAGAACATGTTTCAATTGTGTTTTCTCACGCACATTCTTGAGTACTGAGAGCGAGAGAAATATGGACGCATCTAGAATGAATTGTTTTCCTGATAACAAGTTGATTTTCATTCAATTCTCCTCCCAACCGAGATTCGAAGGGCGTTCCAGATTTGGGCCACTATCAAGAAAACTCTAGATCTTTGATAGCCATCTTGAGTCAATTCTGATATTCAGATCTCTTTATCTGAAGTTTTATCTTCAAAATGAGCCTAAGATTTCCAAAATCGGTTGACGTGGAAAAAAGTTATGGCTGCAAAACCAAAAAGTTGATTTTATGAGATCACTCTGTTAATAAGAGAGATAGGAAGTTGATTCGCGAAATATCTCGAGGTAATGAGATCATCTTCATGCCTCTGTTGTCGAAGTTGAGAAAAAAAAATTTTTCATCATTTGAGAGCCTTTTGAATATTCCGAAATTTTGCACAGTGTCGGAAAACACCATGTAGAGATTTTATGTGAATACCCTTATGTTTCAATGAAGTACCAGATTATAGC